TAGATGCTTCCCTCTTCCAGCACACCTGATTCAGACGGTCAGCTCATCATCAGGCTCTGCAGAAGGCTGATAACGATCCGATCATCTGAACCAGGTGTGCTGGAAGAGGGAAACATCTAGAACATGCCGGACTGTGGCCCTCCAGGACCAGGACTGGACACCCCTGTTATAAAAGAACAAATTCCTGTTTTTAGTCTTAACATATACGTTGACGTGTTTTCCTGCCTGTAGCTTTGCTGGTTATTAGTAATTTAACAGAACAATCTGGACCATGACAGAAAAATGTCCAACAAACAACCTGCAGAAAGTGTTAAAGACACCAACAGACATAAGAAGGACATGACTGAGGTTCCAGGTGTCCTTCATCCGTCCACGGCGCCGGCCGGACCTGCTGCCTCGTCAGGCTGCCTGTGGAGAAGCAACACGGTGACATTAAAGCCACACTCGGGCGTTTCTTTAAGCTGTTTACATGCTGAAGATGTGACAGGGTGTGTGAACGGGTGGAGCCGCTTTGGACCAGCATTTCAACACCGACCTCACTTGGGCAACTTTCTTTCCTGTGAGAAAAGAAAAGACAAACGGATCAGTACTCAGGCGTGTTGCAATGACACTGCACTGACTCTGCTGCGTGTAGTTGAGCAACGCTGACTTTTTCGGCGCTTCATCCAGCAAAAGCAGATGCAGCCGAGGATGGAGACGGCTCCAGAGCCCGCCACGGCCAGCAGAGCCCGTCTGTAGCCTGAGGAGGACGGAGAGCACAGTGAGCTTCATCCTGCTCAGCGACAGCAACACGACGGCAGCAAACGTTTCCTCAACACTGGTGGAACGCTACAGACACGTTTTAGGTTTTCTTTTTTTAAGAAAAGGTTTTATCAAATCTTTAAAGAACGTTTTCAGAAAAATTCACTTATAGAAGATAGATGCTGTTCAGTGACACCAACGGAGGAACGTTCTCAACGTTAAAAAACACGTTTTCCAGATGTTATCGAGGCATCCGATGCTTTTTAATAAAACATTCCTGTAATAACAGAAGTCTAACATTCTGCCTGTAGGGTTCAGGGGATGTTCTGGAGGAAACAGTGTTGAGTCTATGAAACGTTCCCACAATGTTCCACATATAACTAAGACGGAACGTTCTCAGTAGAACAAGTGCTGAAAGCGTCAGAGCCTAACACTCAAACTCAGTGTCTTTATCTTCTTTTAAAAATATGGTGAAGCAACTGTTTACCGAGTCCTGTACCTGCTTTCAGTGTGTTTTGTCTTCAGAGCCTTTCATTGGTACGTTCTGTTTGTGTTGTTGTTCTGTTTGTGTAGTTGTTTTGTTTGTGTTGTTGTTCTGTTTGTGTTGTTGTTCTGTTTGTGTTGTTGTTCTGTTTGTGTTGTTGTTTATGGATGTGTTGTGTTTCTGCTCTGTGCTGCCTCTTTTCCAGGTCGTTATTGTTAATGAGAATCTGTTCTCAATTAACCTACCTGGTTAAATAAAGGAAAAATAAATAACGGTTATTTTATGAACTACATCTTCAGGAATCTGTCTTCACCCAGAACGTTCTGGAACTTAGAATCCAAACCCACCGGTCGCTCCAAGCGTTGGTGGGACTCTGCAGAACTTTCTCAGAATTATTCTTTTAGAACTCGATGTAGATTCGTCACTTTTCCTTAGTTTTACAAACAGCAAGATTGTCCTGAAAACATTCTGAGAAAGTTCCTGTAACGTTTTAAAGTTCCCAGAATGTTCTTCCTAAAACGTCCTGCTGGTGACAGACCATCGAGCTCCAACGTTGTTAAAACATTTTCCAAATGCAGCGCTGAGAATGTCCTTTCCATGTGATCATGTTAGGGTTGTCTGACGTTGCTAGAATGTTTTGCAGAAGAACGTTTGACAGCGTGTTACCTCGACAACATCCCTGGGACGCCTCGCTTTCTGAATATCATCTCGATAACATCTGGAAAACACTTTTTGAATGTTGGTTTGAGGAAACTCCTTCTTTGTTGTCATACGACACACTGGGCGGCCTGACAACATCCTCTGAGCATCCACCTGAAGTCTGAACCTGAGACAAACGTTTGGTAGAACATGTTAGCCAGTGTTGTGGGAACGTTCCCTGTTCGCTGGATTCACTTTATACTACATTTAAAGTTTGACACAAACTCACATACACATACACTAACCCAAACCTAAAATATGATAGTATTTATTCAAAAACATGACTTAAAAAAAGAACAAGACTTATATATTTTTTAAAAAGTCCATTTACTTGAACAAGCAGGTCTGGGGCCGCTCCAGAACCCGGTGAGCCCACAGGTCACCGCTGAGAGGCCGATCATGAGATAACCTGGGTGGCATTTAAAGCGACAGGTTGTGTTGAAGACCTGGTTTCCTCCGGAGCAGCTCAGGTCGCTGTTATCAGGCTGGGACAGAGGAGGACATGCCACTGCTGGAAACAGCAAACAGGGACACAGTTATGTAACGTTTTAATAGCGTTCTAGGGTAGAAAACAGTCACAACACATTTTTAGAGCGCATACATGCTGACGCATGTGTTTTGGCCAGCATTTGACTGTGATCCTCTGTCAGGCCTCAGGAAGCTGAGGAAACAGATGCAGCGCTCATGATGACCCAGTTCAAATTCTGCGAAGAAATAAATGTAATGTTCTGAAGAAGAGCGGTATTATCAGGAGTACTGCTTAATGAGCTGTCCTGTAAATAGGCATCACCAAGTGGAGCATCTAGGAAGGCACAGTCCTGACCATCCGCCTCACACCTGACTTTCTCGTGACTCCTATGACTCCTGAGTTCTCTGTAATGACGTCACGTGTCTTTGTCACAAACAGCAGTTGTGACTTTTGGATCTTTTTAGATTTCTTGTAGCTCTTCTGGATACATGACAGAATCTACAGGGTCAGAAATATGTACAGCAACGTGAATGATGGGCTTTGGCACTGTTAATTAAATGTAGTGGCGTGGCCTTGAAGAACCTTCTCATGCGTGATGATGACTGACTGCAGCTGCTGACTCCTCTGAGCCCGTTCAGACAGACTCAACCACCAACAGTCCAGTGAGGAAGTCTGAGGAGTTCAGCAAAGATCTGACTTCAACAAGTTCAAAAAGTCACTGGGAGACATTTTAAACGGCTACCTATCCCCAAATCACCTGTGCAAGCAACTGGTCCAGTTGTGTCACTGCTACGATCGGGAAGAAAACCCAAACTACCTCCTGCTGCTGAGAGACCATTGGTCAGGATGGTCAGGAGTCACTCAGGAATCCACAAAAAGCTGGTCTGCAGTGGACTGGAAGCTGCTGGAACATCAGCAGCAGTGTTCAGAGTCAGGCCTGTTTTATATCGACATCAGCTGAGAGGCTCCCAGGCAGTGAGAAGGTCCCTACGCTAGGAGTGGCACCTTGAAGCTCAGCTGAAGGTTCATGCTGATCGCATGGACAAAGAAAAGGCCTTCTGGAGAAGAGTGGTCAGATGGAACAAACAAAGGACCATGACCACCTTTGGAGGAGAGAAGGCGAAGCATGGCGGTGGCAGCATCCTGCTCTGGGGCTGTTTTAGTACCAGTGGAACTGGAGCTTTACACAAAGTAAATGGAAAAATAAAGAAGGAGGATAGTCTCCACATTCTTCTGGAACACCTGAAACCGTCAGCCAGAAGGTTGGAGCTTCAGTGTTTCTGGGTGTTCCAACGAGACACTGACCCCAAACACACATCAGACGTGGTAAAGAAATGGTTCAACCAGGCTAGAATGAAGGTTTTAGGCTGGTCTCCCCACAGTCCTGACTTAGACCCTGTCCAGAACCTGTGGACTGTGATGAAGAAACACGTCTGAGTCAGAAAGCCACACAATGAGACGACCTGCACCACTTCTGTTCAGAGGAGGTGCAACCAGAAGCTGGTGGAGGCTACCACCAGCTTCTGGTTGAAGTGAAAATGGCCGAAAGACGTTTAATAAACTTTACTGCTGCTGTATGTGTGTTTTTGACCTGCAGACTTTGTCATGTTTCCAGAATAAATCTACAAAGGAACCAAAATGCGAGTGACAGGAGTCACTGAAAACTAAAAACTTGCATGAAACACGTGATCTGTTCAAGTCCAGGTGAACTTCTGTTCACGGCTGTCTGTTGTGAAGCGCTCCGTGCTCACCTGTTTCACACCTGTCTCCTGTAAAACCGGGATCACAGAGGCACGTCGTGTTCTCGATGGTTTCCTGGCATCTTCCTCTTTCACATGCCGCTGCAGTGCACTGAGCTGTGAAGAAAAGGTCAGCCTTTCACACTTCTGAAACACTTCCATTGTACTGACGTTCCTGGTTTATAAACTTCACATACCTTTATAACAGACTGCATATTTTTTATTGCCACATTTCTCATCGTTCCACTTGCCCCGGTTCGGTCCAGTGTTGACGTAGATCTCCACACAGAACTCTGTGCTGTGGTTGTTATTGGGCTCATTCGGTGCCCATGAATTCTCACCGATCCACGTGCTGTTGTTGCCAATCCAAGTCCAGGTTTCATTCTTGTGGCTCTTGGTGATTCCGATCCAGTAATACGGGCTGCCTTTTCTGTTTGGCAGCTTGGAGACCACGTAGTCGTTCTCCTCCTGGCTCTGGAACACCACCATGTCCGTGAAATTGGTCAGGCACCACTTTCTGGCCTGGGTCCAGTTCATAGACTTGCGTGAGAAATGGTAAGTCCAGCCGAAGGTGGTTTGAGCCAAGGAGAGACCTAAAACAAAATGTATGGTATCAGATGTACCAGCGTTCCTATGCTGTTATTGTCCTGCACATTGTGACAGAAGTGTAAACCCACCAAGAAGAAGGAAAAGTGTCCACGTCATCTTCAGTGAGTCTGAGCAAAGAACAAAAAGGAGCAGAAATGTAAGTATGAGTGAATCTTCCACTGAAAAATAAGAAAGGTCCTACTTACTGTAGCTGGAATACAAAATGACACGAGCGTCTCCGTCAGTTCAGCTCCAGTCGTATCAAACCTGAAACTAAAACACAGTCAGGGCTCGTTGGTTTGGTGCAAGTAGAGCTCAGCATCAGGCTTTTATAGTTTCTGTGGCGCTTTCACTGCAGCATTATCATAGAATACCTGGATGTTTACTGGGCACGCTGAAAGGATGTGATAAACGATTTAATGACTTGTTGACCTTCGAACAGTAAAAGTGGGTTCAGGGGAACATTTTTCAGGACTAAAGCGACATAAAAGGACATGAAGACGAAGTATTCAGAGTTAAAGTGCCAACGCAGCAACGTGAAAGTTACTGCATGAGAAACCAGCTGTACAAATGTATTAATGACAATATAAATGTAGAAAGATCTCCAGCAGCAGCAGAGAAAGCCCTGGTGTGGTCCGACCGACTGACTTCTTTAGATTCTTAGCAGTGATCTGCAGCATGGTGCTGCTGCTGCAGGCGGAGATGTTTTTACAGCCATACGGTCGTATATAGAGGAGCAGCAGATACATGGGAGGGGCTGTCATCTGCTTAGTCAGACAGAAAAGAACAAAGTTTTCAGTTCCAGTTGGTTTTTGTTGGCTTGTCCTCTAATCTTTGATTTTTGGTGAGATTTCGGATCATTTCAGCATTTGTTGAAATAAAAGCATGTGAGACGATTGGAGGGAAAAATCCCAGCGAGGTGGAGCTCGCATCTGAATTTATACGACGTCAGAGGACAAAAGAAAAGCTCCTCAAGTTGTAAAAGCTCGTTGTGTTATCCACGGTGGAAAATGTGCATCTTAAAGTCACGACACCCGTCAAATGAATGAGTAGAAAGAATGAAATTCACCTTTGAAACGCTGCAAATTAAAAGTGAAACGTAGAATAAACTGGAAGCAGCAAGTGTCTCCAACCAGCCTGAAAGGCGTCAGCGCTCGGCTGAATGTGCAGACGCACTGTGAGCGCAGTGCGACCAGCACAGGGACACAACTCACTCACATCAAGTCATTTCCCTGTAAATACTGAGTAAAAACACACAGACGCTGTGTCGCCTGTTCTGTGTGGCACCGTTAAATAAAGGACTCTGACACGGTTTAAAAAGGTTTAAAAAGGTTTAAAAAGGTTTAAAAAGGTTTAAGAAGTCAAATCTGATGCTGTTTTTGGTGCCTCTGTAAAAACTGATGGTGTGAATTCAACAAAAAATGCTCACAGAGCAGTTTACAGTCAGCTGAGATTATTATTATTATTATTATTATTATTATTATTATTATTATTATTATTATTATTATTAGCTCCTCTTCTTCTTTGTCCTTTGTTTTTAAATGTTAAACTGGATCATAAAGATTAAAGCGGTTTTGTTATTTATGTTGTAATTCACAGTTTAAACACATTTGAAAGGAATGTATATAGCTAATGCTGTATATATATATATGTAACTCTATATAAATACAGTGTAAGGTTGGATGGTGGAGTCACAGGAACCAGCAGCAGACCTCCTGTGGGTCCTATCTGACGAACTTTACAGGAAAATGTCTTAGAGTGAAGCATCGTTTGCATTTTTTAAATTTTTTGTGGCTCTTGTGGTTTTCTCTAAATTTAGACACTAAAGTGAATCCACGTGTTTAACAGCAGCCGTACAGAGACAGAACTCCTGCTGCCACCTTCAGCAGAACGTGAGACACCAGATCTGTTCCTGAAGCTCTTTGAGACAAACTATGTCTTCATCTCCTCTGCTCCGACCCTCAGGAAGCTTCTTCCTGCAGCTCTGGATGAACTAACCGATGTGGCCGTGCCGCTCAAACACACAAATGTTGGTGCTGCTGCTGAAGCGACTGAAGCCTAGCTGAGCCTTTAATGCGGCGACTTGACATTCTGCATCACTCAAAATGCATAAAAATGACAATGGCAAAAGACAGTGAGGTTTGGAAGTTTTATTAGTTTAGTGTGTACATGAGAAAAACCTCCAAGAAGCACAGATGCAGATATACAACATGATGCTTTAAAATCCTGCTGTAAGAAAAAAACAGCATTTCAATCTTAATAAATAGTACATAAATACAGCAATCTATTTATGGAAATTACTCACAGTTATGCACCCACGACATTTACAGAGACATGAAACCAGCATCTCCATTAAAGCTGTAGAGCAATGTGCTCGATATGAAACTCCCCTTGGGAGGAAATACACGGCTGAAGAACATCACGGAGCAACCAGGCGTCTTCTGGTCATAATGGCAGCAAAACAGAATGCAACGGCCAAATGGGAAATGTAAAGACGGCCTTTCTGCTCACGGATGACAGCTCTGACACACTGAGTGTTACACGAATGCAGATTATTCACATGTTCACATGGCTGTGTTCAGGACATGGGCCTCCTGAGCCACGTGGCTGCTGCGCTCTAGATGAGGCTGTCGATGCTGTTCTTGTAGACCTGCGGCGGAGGCTCGATGTCGGAGTTGCTGCAAGAAGAGACAGAACAAGATGAGCGCTAAAGTTCAGCTTGATAAAAAGAGAAATGTAGGATTTTAGAGAGTTGATCAGATGAGAAATGATCAGCTGTATTCATCCTGAAGGAAACTGTTTGGTACAATAAACAGCAGCTGGAGAATAGACACAGCTACAGGTTGAGCGCTTTCCTCACCTGTTCAGCTCAAACTGTGTTGCTTTGCGCCTCAGTCGCTTCAAGATCCACATGGTCAGAGACAGACCGGACAGAACCGCGGTTCCTCCTGCAGCCACGCCAGAGGCCACGGCGGCAGCTTTGGATGAAGGAGCTGCAGGAAGAACGGGACAGGTGAAGGATCTGGTCTTTAGAACTCACACTGTGTTTGTTAGTCTGTCGTATTTAAACATCTTCTGACATGTTTTGTGTGTTTTTGTAGTTTTACCTCGACAGGTGGGGTGCTCTCCCGTCCAGTTGCCGTGACGATCACAGGTCAGCAGCTCGTGTCCGTCTAAGGTGAAATCTTGATGGCATGTGAAGGAGCACTGCGAGTTGAACACCAGCTCACCGGCCGTGCAGTTGACGCGGCCGTTTTCAGGAGCTTCGGGCAACGGGCATCTTACAGCTGTTGGAAAGCAACGAGACATTTTATGAGTTCAGATATTGTTTTAGTGGCTCTGACCCACTTCAGTGCTGCATAAATAGTCCAGGTTCTGGTGTGTACCTGTGCAGGTTGGTGCTCTGGACGTCCACTGGCCCGGATGTGCACACTTGACGCTGCCTTCACCCTGCAGCTCGTGGCCTTCATCGCAGCTGAAGGTGCAGACGGTGCCGAGCGGGTGTGGGCTCGCAGAGGCAGCAGGTGAAGGGCTGCAGCTGATTTGGCCACCTGCTGGAGTCTGTGGAAGTGGACATCCTATTGCTGCAAAACAAAGTGAAGAAGAACGTGAGTGGGACGTCATGACAGAATAAAAGAAAAAAGTGCACAGACTGTTTAAAGCAGAGCTTGGTGAGAGAAAAGGCTTCCTCACCTCTGCAGGTAGGTACAGCTGTGGTCCACCGCCCGTCCGCGGAGCACTGAGACGTCTGAGCTCCCTGCAGCTCAAATCCTGCTTCACAGGTGAAGCTGCAGGTGGAGTTCGGCCTCAGATCAGACAAAGGTTCGCTGCACCGAGTGAGCAGGTGAGCTTCTCCTTCTGGATTCTGGCAAGTGACGGCTAGAGCAGAGAAAACACTGCATGTTAACTGGTCCCAAAACCAAAAGAGCCTTTTTAGTGGAAGGTGTTTGGATAAGTGTGGCTCACCTTCACAGCGGGGCACCTGCTCGCTCCACTTGGCTGCTGATGTGCACGTGGCCCTACTCGGCCCCACCAGGCGATATCCGGAGTCACAGCTGAAGCTGCAGGTGTTTCCGTAGCTGAACCTCGTGTCTGCATCATCCCCACATCTGACGGCGCCGTTGTCTAGATGTCTGAGCTCGGGGCACTGGACGGCTGCAGGGAAGACGGTTTCTGTTAAATCACTATCACCATTTTCTCAGTTTTGCTGAAAACGAGCCTGAAATGTCCTCAAAGTCTGCAGCGGCTGATCAGATGGAGCGCTCGCTGCTGGAACCAGCTCTCCGTGGAGCTCCGATTGCTTAGCGTAGAACCGCGTGCACCTTCTTCATCTGATTTCAGCTGGTTTCTTTTCTAATTGATTGCACACTTTATCTTTCTCATGTCGTCTTTTTTTGTTTTAGTCAATCACTTTAATTTTTCTCCAACTCTTTGTGTACTTTATTCAACTTGTCTGTTCTGTCTTTGACTCATTATTTCCTTTATTTTTTAAGCTTGCTTTCTGTAGCACTCCACATAGTATCATAAAGTCCTCTCTAAACCTACAAGGCAGAAATATAGAGTACGTGGACGTACCTGCACAGACAGGTTGTGAGGCGTTCCAGCTGCCTGATGCTTCACATTGCAGAGTGCTGGATGAGGAATCAGTCAGTTCATAGCCTTCATCACAGGTAAAGACGCAGGTGGACTTAAAGCTGGAGGGGCCCAGAGGATCGGAGCACTTCATGGATCCGCTCTCAGGTTGAAGCAGCTTCTCACACTGAACCACTGCAGACAACGGGACAGACTACATCAGACCACACTCCAACAGCGTCATCACACTTCGCTCGTCTTCATTTATTCATTCAACTCACAGTCACACGTCGGCGGCTGCTCCGACCACGTTTCGGAGGCAGTGCACCTCAGAGGTCTGGGCGTGCTCAGCTGGTATCCGTCCTCACAGGAGTACCGGCAGGACGAGTCGAAGGAGAAATCTCCGTAGTTATGGGTGCAGTTTACGTTTCCTTTACTGGGGACGGTTATCTCGCTTCTGTTGCACTGAACGACTACCAACAAGAAAGACAAGACACAGTTAGAGCTCAAGTGACTAAAAACAAGAAAACAAAAGTCGTCCTAAACTCGTGGAACGTCGCCTCTTACCCTGTTCACACTTGTCTCCATAAAATCCTTCAAAGCAGTCACACTTGTGGCTGTTGATGGTTTCCACACAGTCTCCGTGGAGGCACGAGTCGTTCTTACAGGCAGCTGGGCAGAGAAAGAAGCACGTGCATGATTAAAGCCTAATTTATGACTGTTAGAGGAACAGACTGAAGAGAGAAAGCAGGCAAGAGGAGCCGCTCTGGAAGCCCAGACTTTGCTCACCTGTGTAGCACAGAGCAGTCTTCATCTTGCTGCACCTCTCGTCGTTCCACTTGCCCGTCTCCTGCTCCCTCTTGATGTACATCTCCACACAGTCCTCCTTCTGTCCCGAACTTTGCCCAGTCCTGCCATTGTTGGGTTCGCCTATTGCCCAGTTGGTCGCCTCTGCGGTCAGCGACTTGTTGGTCCCGACCCAGGTCCACACGTCGCTCACCTTGCGGATCCCGATCCAGTAGTAGCCGGCTTTCCCTGGGAGCCAGCTGTTGAGATGTGCGATCTCCTCCTGGTTCTGGATTGCCACCATGTCGGTGTAGTGCTTCTGGCACCAGGCTCGGGCTCTAGACCAGGTCATGGTGGTGCTCGAGAAGTTGTAAGACCAGCACTCCACGTTGGTCCACATGCACACTGAGGACAGACGGCAGAGACGCCATGAGATGATGGAGCAGCAGAGGGATTTAAAGATTTCCATCTCATTCAGAAAGTTAGATTTGCACCTTAGATTTACTTACTTGAGCAAAGAAAGGTCAAGTAGATCCATGGAGTGGAGCTCTTGCATCCACGGGACTGAATTAATCCAAACTCCTGTAAAGAATAAAGAGACACGTCAGGATAAATGGATTCCAGATTATCCATCACTGAGCAGAAGCTGAACCTGAGTTTGCACTAAAGAGAATCAAATTGAACTCGACGCCTGTGCACTCACCATTTTAGTGTGTGTGTGTGTGATGTCCTATAGAAGAAGCTGTTCTTCAGTCTCAGCGGCTCTGAGGATGAGATGATTCTGGTGTTTAAGTGCTGAGGCTCCTGCTTTTATACCCTTCACTGGCCTGGTCCAGATTTCCTGGAAGCTTCATCACAGTCGGACTTTTCGCTGGAATTTCCCAGCCCCCCTCCCACAGGGCCTCACAAACTTTTCCTTTCTTTCTTTTCTTTTCTTTTTTTAAATTCTTGCTGTGAAGCTAAGAAAAGATGTCTGTTAGTTTCACTACTTCCATCAGTTATGTCAGTATTATTCCATCAAACAGAAACAAATATGTATCCCAATATTTAGCATTTAGCAGCTATTTGGAGCAACTAAGTTTCCTGAATGTTTCCATGAGTTGCTGCTTTACTCGAGTACCTAATACTAATACTTACATGTCATAGTTACTTTGGCTACTGCTGTTAGCTGCTAGTTTTAACATTTTATCTCAGTTCAAGCTGTTAAATTAAATCCAGAAGACATACTGATGTATAGAACAGGCAAACCCCGTCAGCAGCAGAATATTATAATGTACTAATATCAACTATACAGTAACAGTACGCAGTGACAGAGCCACGTCACCTGATGAACGCTTTCATTTCAGGTAGTTATATATATGTATGTATGGACACATACGTACACATCCATGTAGCTGAATGCAGGTCTGCAGTAAACCACACACTTCTGAAGGTCATAATGTTGTTTTTAAAATGTTTTTCAGAAAGTTGTTGATTCAAATGAAATGTTTTTTGGAAGATGCTGCTGGTGGTGCTGTTTGAGCTGCGCTGACAGATGTTTCTGGTGTTTTTTCCTTCCACTCTATAAATGTCAGTGAGGATGGGCGAACTGATGACATTCAACAGCGCCGCATAGTGCAGCCTCCAAAGCAAACCAACGGCTCCGGAAACAGTTCAGAAAATGGAATATTATATCTTTCATGAAGGATTTATTGCAGGACTCCTGTTGGGCTATTTCAGCTTCAGCGATGTGTGTCTATATATCTGTATGTTTCAGCTAAATGCCCAGTGACTGTATTTCTGCACTGTGAAGACAGTTTTCTGTGCAGGATGTGAGGCTGTCACTAAGTATTGTACATATAAAGCTGTATGAGTGTTTTTACTGAGGAATCTAAAATGTGTGTTGCAAAGACAAACCAAAGTGCGTGACATAAGAACCTGAGGCGTTTCCTGGAAGCCGCATGGATGCATGAAATAAAAAAAGACCACAGAGAGGAAAATCAGTGACATCCTGAGAGCTGATAGGACACACAGACGTTCGAGTGCCTCTCTCTTTTGGATTTGAGCTTTTTAGATATTAATCCACAAATTAAAACAAACAACGCTGGCTTCTGGCAGCATCTTGTGTTGCGGATGAGCTGTGAGCAGCTGGAGTCAAACTTCACGACTTGTGCAATGATTCATTCATACGGTTAGTACAGAGTGTGCCAGCAGACAATGCACAGACTGGACCATGGTTTAGAGAGGACTGACATGTCCTGTCAGAGGATGTGCTCATCAAAGACAAGAAGGAGAGAAAACAAAACATGCACTGGCAGCTAACAAACTCCCTTTAATGAGTGTCTGGAGACGGGAAATGTGTGATGCGGGAGCAGAGGCGCCTGCTGGCTGCCTGACTTTCTAGAAGTGACAGTTCACATCCTTCCTCTCTGAACCGAAGCACCGGATGGTAGCGGCGCTGCTCGACACCCCCGAATCTCCACCTCTTCCCCAGAAGAGTGCTATAAACTCTCTAATTAAGTGCTGCAGAAGAAAACCCAGGGGACGACCCGGCTGCCGGGATTCATAACGTCCAAAACAGATGCTTATTTCAACTGACCACACCGTTCAGACTGTTTCTCCTTTATTCTGCTGATATTAGATTTTAGATATTAGATTCCCTTTACTGTCACAGACGTGTGTCACACTTGGTTTCAGCACAAAAAGCTGCATATCCAGTCACCACAGACAAACCGACCGTTCATGTAGCTTCACTGACCTGTTTTCATGACAGCACACGTGACCCTGGTGTCCTGCAGCCCTTATCTGGATTAAACAGTCATAAATAAACCGCCACTGCTAGAAACCGTTTAGACGACTCTGGATGATGTTTTTCTTTTTTTCTAGAGTCTGTATAATAATAGTACTTTCTGTATCAGGGTTTTTTAGTCATGGACATGTGCAGTGTCATTGTTTTTCCAAATGCAGAGTTTTTATTTTCTGCATTCTTACTCTTCTGTGCAACATCCAGATTTTCTCTATTAAAAAGAATCTGCACAACATCAACATTACTTGTGTATATTTCTTCCTTATTTTTATTGTTTTTTGCTCACTTTGCCTACATTTCTCTTCTATTCCCACTGCAGCTGCAACACTGAGAGTTTCCCTGCTGTGGGATGTAATAAAGGATGATCTTATTTTATTGTGTCTATTTGTGGTAACTGCAGCGACGTCTCTTGGTCTCGGCCGGATATTTAAAGTCATTCTGTGCAGTATTCTGGTATTATTTAAAATGTTGGTGGTTTGGAATGCCTCTTATTCTTACTTTTTGGGGAACCTGGACTGTAATTTACACGAGTTACAGGAAGTTTTATATGTAAACCAAACAAATGACCTCTTTTGTAATGATCCTCTGGGTTCTGATCTGTCATTTTGATGCATTAACACCGTTTTAATCACGATCTATGGACTCCAGGCAGGTTCTGATTCATGAAAGCATTAAAACAACAATCTGGGGAAAATAACAGAAACACGAGGATAATGGATCACGTGGATGACGATGATCCATTTTTGGCACCGGCTAAGGAGGTCATCCACTAAACAGAGGCTCAGGCATCCCTCAGAAGAACATCCATCCTGCTGTCTGCTCAAGTGTCCACAGACAAGAAACTTGGTCCCTGGAAGCTTTGATTCCGACCTCGGACCTCCCTGATGGACACCAGCGGAAAATGGCTGTGTGGCTGTAGGAAATGACAGATCAAGTAGAAATCAAACACACTCAGATCAGGAGTATTTATAGAACATGTTTAAAGCAGCACGAGCAAAGTGCTGCACATGTTGGCAGTCAGGAAGCAGCTGAGAGTGGCACAGAAAAAGTAAAGAACGTGTTGATTGAACCTGTAACACATAAAACAAATATAAACACTTCAAATGAAGACCATTAGGAGCGCATGACCGTCTTAAACTATCAGTGAAGGAGGAGCTCTTCGCTACAAGAGGCGGCTGCTCCGAAGCTCAGGAACCTTTTGGGCTTCCTCACTGTTGCCACTGTGGAAGAACCTTTAGAGCTCAGAATGGTTCAGCCAGAAAGTTCTGTTCCGTGGGGTTTGGGTTCCACTTTGAGCTCAGACACAGATGTAGGCTCTTATTGTTCCCGAACTGAGAAAAAGATGTTTTCTGAATGTAGGACTGAGAGTCTCCTGAATTTTTATCATCGGGGAAAAGTTTTATAGAAGAACGTTCTTTAACACGTTCCCGACAACGTTAAAAGAACGTTCTGTAGCACGTTCCCGACAACGTAAAGGAACGTTCTGTAGCACGTTCCCGACAACGTTAAAGGAACGTTCTGTAGCACGTTCCCGACAACCTTAAAGGAACGTTCTGTAACATGACATTTTGTCATCTCAGGCCTCCAAAACATCTGAAAAACAGTGTTTTTAAAGTTGGTTTGAGGATACGTGAGAACATCTCCAAAGCCTCCTCAGATGGCTGCAGGTAGACGGCTGAGCTGTGGATGCAGCACATTACCGGAGGGTTCATAAAAACCATCTGAGAACATCTGGAAGATATCTTTGAATGCTAGTTTGAGAAGGTTCCTCCTTTTATTGTGCCAGAACATCATCTGTGTTGGATTTGTTTTTTTTTCTTTGAATATTTGATTAAAAAAATCTTCTTTAAAAACTCATGAGAACATAAAAGTAATACTAGCCGACGTTGTGGCAACGTTTCCTGCCAGCTGAGGAGGACCAGTGAGGGAGAGACCAGTAGAACCGGTTTTACTTCTTTTGTTTGCTGGTTTTACTGGATGAACAGAAGAAGCACAGGCTGTGTTTGGATGATGGACTTCGTTAGTAAACTCCAGGCTCTGGTGCATCAGCGGCTCTGTCATGAAGTTGGGTTTGATTTTATCCACAGCAGTGCGCATGTATGGACTCTCAGTCATGGAGATCATGATGATCTTCAGAGTTTCAGTCATGTTCAAGAACCAGGAAAGAGAAGTCCAGCTGCTTGTAACTGAAGCTCTTTGGATACATCCAAACAGTTCCCAGGTGCAGCCATATGGAGTCGCCAGCGTGCGGACGCAGCGTTCATCTGCACATTTATGTCTACACGCTGCGCGCTGTCTGTCTCTTTAAGACAGGAAATAGAAATCCTGGTCCAAATAAAGGCACTGGTGTGGACGCTCCATGTTCTCCGTGGTCTGCAGACCGCTGAACAGTCTGAGAGTCTCCGGCGCTTTGCGTAAAGCTACAGTCGCGATGGCAGAAGCTCTGGCCAAAGTCCCCGACGTGGAGATTGATCCGGAGGGAACGTTCAAGTACATACTGGTCAGAGTGAAAGTAAAAGATGGCGATGTGCACAAAGACATAGTCCGAGGCACAAAAAGTGCAGAGTATCACAGTAAGTTCGTTGCTGTAGTTTGCACAGAGGAGCGCCAAATGCGTCAGTTTAGCGCGAGTCTAACCAAATCAGATGACCCGTACTGCTGCAGATTTGACCTATTTACATGCAGTCAGCGGCTTTATTTACACACTGCCAAGTTGTTTTTTGGTGCATCCACTAAACGCGACGTGTGCGTAAAAGCGGCGCAGAGTGCTTGTTGGCCAAACTTGGAGGCAGCAGCTTTGCGCACATGAGACTGACGATGCCGCAGTAAATATCTGACAAATGCTTCTAATTGTTGATCATCTCAGTCTCCTGTAACTAAACCCAGCTTGTGTGTTTTGTTTGACCGGTTTTAATAATTGACAGATCATAT